ATTTTGTGTTCTTTAATCTTTCTGACATTATTTTATATGTTCTTTTAATTCGCTTTATGTGTTTTGCTTATAATCTATCTTTTGTGGCTTATAATTATTCTTTCTTATCGTTCTTATTGTTAAAGATTGCTAAGCCGCAATTGATCGACTCTAATTATCCTATTGGTTCTTTGTCAATTATTTGATGAATATTACGTCATGTAGATCATTACTCTTCCTAAATGTTTATCAACATTGTAGATATCACTTAGTTTATATATCACTAAGAATTTGAGTTCATAAAAATTATGGGATTCCCATTACTCTTCCTAAATGTTTATCCTTTTCGGCTAATTATTTATCCATCTACGCCAATTCGCAATCAATTTGTTCATTCTTAGTATTTGGAAATTACATTTGGTGGTTGAATTTTATCATCTTTTCATGCTTGATATTCGGCCGTTTACAATGTAAAGGTGATGATGGTGGAGATGGCGTATTTAGTCGTTTTTGAGCGATTGTTCGTATTTTCTTAACCAGATCTATTAGTGTGTGCTATTTAGAATTTACAGTATAAAGATCAGTGAATACCAGTAATTTGACGGGAAAATACGCCATAGCTATACATACTCATAATGCTAAAAGATTCTCCAGAAAATCTGGCAAAAGGTCTTCCATGTCTGAGAATGTCATAGGGAATATAAGTGTTGCCATCTCAACTAGTGTTGGTCTCCGTAAATAGTTGTAAGTCCAAAAGTCAAATAAATATAATGGTTGTAAATCAGAATTACCATCTTTTAAGTAACCACAATAGCTTACGTTTATAATACTACAACTGCTATGGGTTGTAATTCAATATATAATAATCGTTACTTTCAACGAAAAAATAGAAATTCTGCGAATTATCGTAGGAAAGGGAATAAATAGTACATCTTGTACCTATATAATATGAGAAAAAATTTTTGGTGAAAAAAAAAAACTGAATGCATAATTCGAAATTTCTTTTACCTACCAGTAATTTGGATGCCAAGAGCGAAAGCTTCTTCTAGTACTACTTTCTTGAAGTGTAATTTGCTCCACAACGAATCTAAATAATCTTTCATCACTATCTTTAGTTTTGAATGGTCTTTTCTATATTTAGTATCATCAATTGGTCCTTCAGTATTTCCCACTTCAAGTGGTAGGCGAGATGATTAGGTTCATTTTTTTATTTCAGATGTAAGCGTCGTGTATTCCTCATGCACATCTTTTTGTTTTCGATTCGTGACACTACGAGACTCCTTCTCAGTCCTAGCCAAGGTCTATGGTTAATATTACAATAAATAATATATGAGGTAAAGATACCATCACTCACCAGATGAGCTCAAAAGTGCCAATATCGAATTTCTCTAGAAGAGTACAATTATCGGGCCAAGAATCTCAACAATAAAATCCCGTTCACAATTTTGCATGAAGAATATTGATTTACCTTCGTAAACATTGGTTGCTAAGTAGAATCTGATTAGTATTTTCGAATAAAAAAGACCAATAGTTATTTTGTTATACTTACAAAAATTCTACTGTTTTAAAAGTTAAGTCTGCGTCTACAGATTTTAAATCGGAGGAAAACTTAGCCTTCCATTGTTCTGAATCATCTAAGGATCGCTAATATAATAACAATTAATAATTTTCGAATATACTGTGAAAGCGAAATAACAACTACTTACTATTTGATCAGGATCACTACGTAGTCATTCATGCACATCTTTGTCGATTTTATCTTTATAGAGCTTCTGTTAAACAATTGTGAATAATCTGGCAATTTAAGGATTCGATTCCATTCGATTTTAGTCCAGCTAGACAGATCGATAATTCGGGATTCGATTGATTTAAAATATCTATTGATTGTGAAAAAGCATCATCACTTTCTTCCATATCTCTTCAAGAGTAAATTCCGATTCTAAGAGCAAACAAGATATCTGTAATTACAGTGAAAAGTATCAGATATTATTCAAAATATACTGTTCAAATAAGCGAGCTGTTCTAATTGTATTACCTTTTTTGCAATAATGTTATCGATTTCTGCAACATCCACTTCTTGATCGTTAGCTTGTACATTAAGATCACTGCTGTGTCTTGACGTTTGTATAGTTTCTGAATCCTTCTTTAGAAGAGAACAGATACATAAGTGAAGCAAATACGATTTGCGTTTTGATATAATAACATCAACGAACCTCGACTTCACCTGAGGTGGCTATCTTAGAAGATTCGCCGGACCCATTTCTGCCATTTTCTGGGAAGGAAGCATCCGCGTTATATATATCTTCCTTGTTATGTGACGTTCCTGATAGAATTCTCATTAATACTCTTACAATGTAATTATTCTTAAGTTTACTTCAAGCTCACCTCTTGTGCTTGTAACACGTATGATGACGCTATTTTGCGACGCATTGTTGAGGTATTAAGTAAAGTAGTACTGTACGGTAATACTAATTCGGACGGACGTTAATCCTTTTTGTTCGTACGTACCGTTTCTAACAGATAAATTTTTTTATACTAGTACGTACGAATGCTTTAAAAATTTTCGTATGACTTTGAATTTTCGTACATGTTTTGTTTTTTAATAAAATACTTTATGTTAAAAATATAAATATTTCAGTTATACTCTTTGAAGATAAGCTTATAAAACTCTATTCTTTAATAATATTCAGCTCTATAATAATAAAATTGACTCATAAAGTCATAATAATTATATAAACCTGTTCAAATTCAGAATTTGCCAATTCGATTGGAAAGTCTTCAACATCGGATATATTATCAATATTCATATTTACAATTATTTTTCTTCTTCAAAGCAGTAAAGATTAAAAAGAGATATTTATGACAAATATATAATAAATAAAACGTTAAAATCATTATATTACAAATATATAAATTAATCAGATCAATTATGTTACTAAAATATTATGTGACATTTTCATTCTCGAAAGTTCTATCACATGATGCTACGATGCGGTTTACGGGCCACCGACCCCTAAATACGAGTCGGGTCAATAACCCGGGTTTGATCCGACCCTTTCGGAACACTATCTTGAACAAAGCAAATTTTCTCTAGCAATTTTATTAATATACTGTGTATCTTTTACTAAAAATGTTGAAAGTGTGCGCTTTTGGAAGCAACAGATAAAATTAAAAATATAATAAAATTATTGACTTATCAATTTTCTAATAGGAATTGAAAAGGGATTTTCCCATAATAATGGAATCGCTAAACGACACCATAATCTGTTAATCAAAATGCATGAATATAAACTTGAGAAATCATTTTGAAAATATTTTATAACTTCATATGTTAATTCAGGTAACGCATAATTTACGTCAATTAATATATTATAGTAATTAGGCAGTTTAACTATTTATAGCAATTACAAGTCATTAATAGCACACAAAGTGTCAATAATGTTTTATTAATACACTTGTGACATAAATAGTGACGTCTGAGTGTAGGTGAAAACACGTGATTAAAATAAGATTAAACTGCTCAACTGCGCAATAGTTATTCGTGAGAATTTTTCATATCATTTTTTCTTCATATAAATATTCGTGAGAATTTTCTATAATCAAAAGCAAAAAAATTATATAGAACGAATTTTATTAACGTCTCAAAAGAACAAAGAAGTCACAAGAATTATTCTCAATTAAATATTTTAGCTACTAGCCTTTTTTTTTTTTAAGTTTCACGCGCAACATTTTTTTAGAAAACATTTGTCGTTTGTAAATTTCTGATGATCATTTTTTTACGCCTCAAATTTTTACATTTACCCAATATGGTAAAACCTTGTTTTTAATCACCCCACTCGGGTGATCATCAAAGGATATAACCTTATTATTTACGTCACAAGTGCATAGGATATATCCTTTGGTGGGCGGCCCATGGGCATTATTATATAAGTCACGTGACTTTTAATTTTAACGTTAATATTTTAATGCTAATTTCAGCACATACTTATAATGCCCATAATGTCTGGCACACAATCCCAGA